GTTCGTACCACTTCGGGAGAACCGGTTGTTAACTTTCTGAGCAGTTTGGTGAACTGGTTGTTGGAAGAAATCATTAGGGCAGAGAACTGGTTGTTAATCGAATCCCACCACTGATATGCATACTTGTTGCTAACAGGGATATTTGGAGACCATCCCTCCTAACTTCCCAGTGCTTCTCTTCTCTTCTCCTTCCGCTTCCCTTTTGATCGTGGGAGGAAAAAGAAATCTGGGATTACACAGTTATGTTCCGTAACATGGTATCTTCTCCCAGTCTGTGTAGAACACAGCTTCTCAACCTTGTGAACTTTAAGCAGTGCGGACTTCAACTCCCAAAATTCCCCAGCTGGATTCTGGGAGTTGAAGTCCACATAGCTTAAAGCTCATAAGGTTGAGAAACAATGATATGTAGAAACTTAGTGGACTGGCAGGACTGATGAGAAAGCATAAAGGGGGACTTCAACTCCCAGAATCCGGCTGGGGAATTTTCGCTCCTCATTCATAAGAACAGTTAAATCTTCTAATGCATAAGCGCACCAGCGTGCCTACCATCCCTGTCCTACTGTCCCATTTATATGGTACTCTTTTTATGTGTTTATGGCTATGTTTTGCTTATTTTTATCCTTTTATTTGTGCCATTTTTTTCATATATTTTCGTACTTGTTTCCTTGTACTTGTTGACAATTAAAATAAAATAAAATAAATAATTCCTTGTACTTAAGGGCAGCAGACTAACTTAAGGAAGAGTGGGCTCTATGATGTGAGTACTCAGAAGAAATGGCAGAGGAGGTGTCTCAGTTACCACTGAAGGCAAAGTGTCACGCTGCCAAATACAAATAGTCCTTGACTTATGACAGTTTGTTTAATGAGCTGTTCAACAGTCACTGGAAAAAACTGGCTTATGACCTTTTTCCGCACTTACAACTGTTGCATCATCCCCATGGTCACAAGACTAAAAATTCAGACACCTGGCAGCTGACTCATATTTATGACGGTTGCAGTGTCCCGGGGTAACCCCCTTCTGCGACCTTCTGACAGGCAAAGTCAGGGGGGGGAGCCAGATTCCCCATGTTAAGAACCGTGTTACCAAATCAACAACTGCCGTGATTCCCTTAACAACTGTGGCGAGAAAGATCGTAAAATGGGGCAAAACTCACTTGACCAATGAGAAATTTAGGGTTGAATTGTGGTTGCTAGTCGGGGGCCACCTGTGGTAGAACTGGCCCAAGGTAGGCCAAAACCTCAATGCATATTTATGTGTATCAGAGGAGAAATTTCAGCAAGAATGAGAAGTCCTGTCCCTAAAATACCGCTAACAAAGATGGAGGAGGTGGAGTTGTGGAAAGGCACAACGCTCTGGGGGACTCCTGGTAGCCGTCGGTGTTGGTGGTGTCATGTTGTGAGCAAATGTTATTGCAGGTTGCTGAGGAATTCTGGGAATTTCGAAGCTCACTCATGTGGAGGGCAGTCCTGGTTGGGAAGCCCTGATCAAGAGCTGGATGTGAGCAAAATAAACCAAATCGGCTGTACTTTAGTAGTCTGGGAAGGCAGTGACTCAGCCAAAGTTAACATAAGGGTTACAGGTAGTCCTTGACTTACAATCATTCATTTAGTAACCGTTCAACAGAGTGGTGGGATTCACTTACCAATTCGCAAATGTGAGCGCGCTCAAGCCACTTTCTGGGCACGCGCAGAAGGTCGCACAGTGTGTAGGGGAGAGTGGGCAGAGCCTCCAGCAGCCGCCACTACTGGTTTACCCAAACCAATATGAACCGGCTGAATACCACCTCTGGTTCAACGTTACAAAGTCACTGGGGAAAAAAATGACATAACTGGTCTTCATCGCTTATAACTGTCACAACATCCCTGCAGTGACGTGATCAAAATTTGGTTGCTTGGCAACTGATGTGTATTGACAATTGTTGCAGCATCCTGGCCATTTTCAACCTTCCCAGCTGGCTTCTGACATGTCTATGGGTGAATCCAGATCCGCTTAATGACCTTGGGATTCGCTTAGCAGGCCCAATGATTCACTTAACAACCGTGGCACAGAATGGTAATAAAATCAGGCCTGACTCACTTAACCTTGCTAGCCTTGCTTAGCAAAGGAATTTCTGGTCCCGACTGTGGCTTATAAGTCACCTATATTGAGAAGAGGATTGTAGGAAGAGAGAGGGGTGGGGAGGATTTTGGAGAGGGGTTCAAGGCAGAAGAGAAAAATAATAATGGAGACACATTTCAAGAGCAGGAGATGCCAAAGAAGGGAGCAAGACTTTGTTGCTTCTAATAGAAACCAGAAAGGCCAGAAAGTAGAAGTGAGGAGTAAAACACTCGAATGTTTTAAGGAGCTCTTGTTCCAAAGAGAAAATTCCACACTGCTGAATTGCAAATTCTTCAACTGATCTATTGAATTCAGAACATACTATAGGCAGAACAAACAATACAGCAACTGCCAAATAGCTGGGGGAAAGGCAAGAATTTGACAAGGGAGGGGAGAAGACCTACCTTAGGTGGGGCTTCTTGTTTGGTGCCATCAGATGATGTTCCTAGAACGATATCAGATTACACTGCAGGGTGTAGCCACAATTCTCATCACTTCTGTTTCTTGACTGATCAGGGGCAGTTTTACCTGATGGGGAAGTCTGTAGCTGCAACATTTTTTCAGGGGTGTAATCTCAATCTCAATCTCTCTCTCTCTCTCTCTCTCTCCCCCCCCCTTCCTCGCTCTCTCTCTCTCTCTCACACACACACACACACACACACACACACACACACACACACACACACACA